CCCAACAGCAGGCATCACTGCCCTTTCAGGTTGTGAAGTGGACAGCGTGGGAATAGACTAATATTCAAGGATAGGGAAGGGTGCATCAACAGAATAGGAAGGTTTTGAAAATTTTAAGTGGAGCTAAATTGAAGAGTATTCCATTTGTTGAGGACTGGGTTAAAAAATATAGAAACAAAAAGAAAAATTCATTCTCAATCCGCCATGCAAGACTCAAATATTTTTCAACAATAATTACGGCATAGCAACTCAACTACTGAAATGAAAGAAAATGTCAACAACAATAATATAACAACTCATGTGCATAAGAAAAGGAAGAATAGAAGAAAATATAGAAGGAAAGAGAATGGGGGGAGGAGGAGGACTCAGAAACAGTGGAATGTCGGCAAGGCAATTGATATGCTCTTTACGCACGACGAGCGAACCAACTCATATCTTCATCGTCCTCCCCAACCCAATAAAACAGAACAACCAGAACAAGGGATAGGAGGAGAGGGTATGAGCAGATTAGCAGTGCAAACCGAAGCACATTTAAATAGACCATTACTTCGTTGTTTTTTTAATAAGGAAATTAAAAAGGCGTCGTCTTATTATGCTGCCTGTAGCTGTATGCATGTGCATGCCTTGCTGTCCAAGTCACTGACCTACTCCCCCAAAATAGTGCCCTCCAAATTACTACCTCTGCTCTTAATATAAGACCCTATTTAACTTTTATTTTAGTTCTAAATATAAGACCCTAATCCACTTTATCACTCATATTTACTCAGTTTTTTTTCAAATAATTCTTCTAATAATTATAGTTCTAGTTAATACACTTGATTAGTAAGGATATTTTAGGAAATACAACACATATTTAGGACAAATAACTAACTCAATTTACTTCCTTAATCTCCTCAAAATTAGTCCTACTAGCTCTTATAATTAGGACCGGAGGTAGTATAAAATGAACAAGTTGGTCACGTTTCTGACGCTTTGGTCCCCTCCAGCCCGCCGCACCCCCATTTTCTTCAGTCCTTTGTTTGGAGAGCAAGGCATGGAATAAATGAACATGACGTGTTTGACCTTTGAATTATGGGGTTTCTTGGGAGGCCCGATAGGCCGAATATCGGGTTCGTATCTTCATCTCCAAAGTCCAAATATTATTGGGCTTCTTGACCAGCAAGCCTCCCGCAAACCCTGAATGCCACAATCCCCGTTTTCCTTCCATCCGCTTTATGTTCTCACTGGTAAACATGAAAATCACTTCTTAAGGCAATGCAAAATTGATAAAATTAAATAATTGTATTGTGATCTGATAAAATTGAAGGTTGCGAATGAGGGAAAAAGAGAGGGAGAGCATATCCCGGACCCGAAGGCGGCGCTTGACTCGTGGAACTCACATATGTCATGCATGACTTATGTTTCAGTTTATTTGCAATTTATAGAAATTGTTGAGAGCCTTGTCGGGATGAGTCTTGGAACTTGAGCTGCGGTTTTCCTACCAAATTTGGGTCAAGTGAAGTTCGCTTGATTTGGTTCCGTGAGTTTCAGAGAAGCAATCCTGAGACGTGCTCGCTTCTCTTTTCCTCCTCTCTTCACAAACTCATTCGCCCCCGCATTATTCATTTATTCAAAGTGCCATATTTCGCATCATACTCTTTTTATTTTTAATATAAGACCTATTTAACTATTTGATTAGATTAAAAAATTAGATAAGCTAGTTAATTATAAAAAATATGACAAGTTTTTCTTAAACCACCACAATCATCTTCTTTAATATCACCCTCTTACTTCTACTTGATTGAGAGAGTATCCGGATAATTTAAAAAAAATTAATAACTATGAGAAATAAGTCTTTATTTAAAACTAAAATTAATTCAACAGGTCTGTATTATTATTTTATTTAGATAACTATTCCCAGTCATTGTCTTGTTCTCGGGATGTTGTGCGCCTTTGCTGGACTATGAACAGAGAACCAAAGAAAACTCTGCCCTCGCAGGGATCCGAACACAGAACGGATCCTGCGCACGCTACCTTCGTTCAACTTTACTCTTCTGTTACTATAATCTCTCTCTCTCTCTATCTATATATAAATTTCATTCGGTTAAAGAATATAAAAAGACATGGCACACATCAACAACTCGTTTTTTGCTTCTCCTTATTATTATTTATTTAGAGGACCAACATGAATAAATCCCACTCACTGCATCTCATTTGAAAAAAAGAAAAACCTTTAATAGTCACTATAGAGCATAACTCTATTGTACTAACGCAGCGCAAAAATACTCTGCACTGTCAGGAATTGAGAATCCATTCATCTCCTTACTTCGTTTCTTTATTTGTTTAGGAAAATGTGAGAACTTTCTGTGTTTTCCAAAAGAAGAGGCAAACTTGAACCTCCAAAGATGCACATTACTGGCTGTAGTTAATGGTCAGCGCATGCAAAGTCAACAGTAAAAGCGACGCGGCCTTCCGCAGCCGTCCTGTCTATTACTCTCGTGAATTCATCCCATCAACTCCTCAAGGCCTCAGCTAATCCCTGCGGTGCTCCTCCAATACAATCCATATCTCACACGTGTCGCCCACATTTTCACTCTCTGCTCTCATTTTATTTCAAACGCTGTGAAAGTTTCCCAGACTCGTAACTTCCTAACTCCTTCTTCCTCCTTCACAATGAGAATCTCAAAATCAGAAATAAGTTCTGCAATATGTGAAGAAACTAACACAAGTGATGACGCCTTATATATTCTAGTACTGCCATCTGGCTGTCCTCTGAGTGAAACATGGCTCGTCATTTATAAGTTCTTCTCGACTAGAATTTACACTTCCCGAATCATGGAAGACCAATAAGGTCGATGGCCCAAAACCCAGAAAACGGGCAAAATAAAAACAAGGAGAAGTAAAAATGGTCACAAATAATGAAGACAAATGTGATTCTCAATTTCTCACACTCCCTCGCGCTCAAATCTAAGATCTAAAACAAACAAGACCAAAAGGAGGAGGCAGGAAACTTGTCTTCATTGCTGGTTTTGTCGTTGCTCGTCTTGGTTACCTTGTTGATTTTCGCACTCCGTCTCCTTCTCCTGTTTCTCAGATCTCTCTTGAGCGTCGACACCAACCTTGCAAATTCCATCTCCCAGAGATGAAGCCTTAGAGCAGACAGGGGTGGCCAAGAATGTGGGATTCTCATCTCCAGCCATGATGACCAGAATCTTCTCCTCGAAGACGGTGACGGTTTCGTTGTTGGCAGAGTCACTCTGTTTCTGGACATCGCCGCTCTCCAGGTCTCGCTCGGACCCTTCTTCGCTTTGCAAGAAACCAGAAAGTTTCCAGTAAGAACAAGCCAAGATCAAAAGAGCAAAGGCTATGAGGCCCAGCATGGCAGCGAGCCCTCCGAAGAGGTAAGGAACCGGAGAGTGCCATGGAGAGCGTTGCACAGAGCTCAATGAAGAAGCACCAGGGGCCAGGGAACTTGAGGGACTGAAAGAGTTGGGAACAGTTCTCATTTCAGCTTTTTGGGTAGCTTTTACTGTGGGAGTAAAGAGAGTAGAGGATGGTTAGATGTAGGGGAAGAATGTGAATGTGAAGTGAAGAAGAAGGGAGAGGAGAGGCAGGGTATTTATAAGGAGCGAGAAAGAAAGAAGTGTAGATGAAGATGATTGGACAGCCGTGCGATGCACGGGACACTTGTGTTGGCTTTTTTGCACGGGACTTGGCAAAAGGGACAGAGCACAGGGTTACTTGAATAGGCAGCGGTAATAGTAACCAACCCTTGCGTTTGATCATGGGTTAGGTGGTGCTAATCTTGTGTTTTTGATTGGACTTAAAGCGTGGTGTGGGTCCCCTTCGCGGGATTTATTCCTTCTTCCCCTGATGATTTCAGTTACTGCTTTCACATCGTATGAGAATTTATAATTCTCATATATAACATTGATCATATACAAATACTAATTATAGTGATTCTTTTGCTTCAGAATATAACAAGTCAGAAAAAAAGGGTTAACTATATTCATGTTTCGCTGCAGAACGGAGGGCGATTGAAGACAGAAAGGGATGTTTTGCCTCTCAAATGTTGTCTGTTCGGCAATGAAATTTGGGAGTACTGCCTAAGAATATGATTGAGATGTGGTCATTCAAATTTGTGAGAGAAATGGCTTTTTGTCTGCACAAACGGGCATACCCAGAGACAGAGAGATCAGGGAGAAGATGTTAATGGCGGATGGAGACAGGATGATGTCACATGGGAACAATGTCATTTAGCTTTTAATCTGGTATTCGGGAAGAGTGGGGCTAGGATGAAGAAAATAAGGAGATGCAGAAAATGATAATATTGTTGCTTTATGAGATGCGCAGGCAAGGAAAGAGGCAGTGTTAATATTCTCAGACTCCACTAACACTGCCCAATAATGCGCATGGAAAGGAACGCTTGAGGGGAGATGATGTCATAATTATATTATTTTAGTAATTGAGGAACAATATTAAAATGACAGGGAAATTAGAGAGAGAGGGAGAGTAATCCACTGGGGAGGGGAGGGGAGGGAGGAGGGGCACAGTGAAAGCGCACTAAGCGGGCGATGGCATAATGAAAAGAACGACACAAAAAGATCAAGTAGGGTGATAAAAGAGAATACCAAGTGTGGGCAAAGTGGAAACAAAGCTAATACAGCTTTCCTTTTGTTTCATCATTTTGCATTCCCCTTTATCTGATTTAAAATGCAAACTTCATTTCATGTGGGGTTCCTATTCATTTGTTTGGTGTGAGCTTCCTATAATTACACAACAATCATTAATTCACATCCCACATCCAATTGCTGTTCCTTTTCACTCTTTTGCTTATGTGCTTTCACATCTGCACTGCTCCAATAAAATTCTTGATTTAATTGGTGGTGTAATAACATTATATTCCCATCCATTATGTCCTCCCAAATCACACTCCTCAAATGCTGCTGTTATTCCCTCACCAAGTTACCACTTGAATTGTCACATATTGCTCCATGACTCACATCCAAACGCTGCAAGTCAATGGATCTTTGGCCATATCTATGTGATGTACCACGTGAAAACAAGAACCGATTCATGGTTTATTAATTAAATTCATTTTAACAACAACTTTAGTCAGTTCTTTTAATGTGTATGGTCCCCTTGTACTCTGAACAGACGTGGATGACTTTTTGACTAATCGGCATTAAACTCGCTCATGAAATTCACTTCGTCATTGATGGTCAAAATATCGTTCCATATCATGCAAAACTGCTCCCATCTCAGTGAGGTGCTTCAACAGTTAATTGATTAATTTGAGATAAGTCAGTTATTTGTAATAAATAGTATTAATTTGTCTTTTTTAAAATACTCCTATTAATCATGTGTATCAATTAGAACTATTTTTGATAAAACATTTAACATGTGTAACTATTAGAGCAACTATTTTAAAAAAAATAAGATACAAAATAGATTAAGATCTTATATTTAAAATCAAATTGAATATTAAATTAATTTTTATATTAAGTTCAAGATAGTATTTAATGATCTCACTGTTTAACCGTATTCTTGTGCCATCATCGATTTTTGAATGAGCAATAATAAAAATTGCTTCCTTCTCATCTTAATGGTGGCGACTATTTGTATTATATAGATATATATATATATATATATATATATATATATATGCGTGAGTGGGGAAATTGTTGTAGTTTCATTCCAGTACGAACTACCATGGGCTGATATGCTGACCACTGGTGCCACGACGTGACATCGTTTGTGATGTTTTGTGCTTTATAATAAAACAAAACCTGCAAATATATATATATATATATATATATATATATTTAGGCCAGTGATTATAAAATTGGCTCAGGTAGTTTTATTTTCTGTCATTCATATATTGTGTCTGTTTTTAGTTTTTATCCTATGGTTCATGTTCTTGTTATACCATCAACTTTACATATTTGACTCTTAGACTTTGTTGATTCATAATATATACATTATATGTCGGGTAATAAAATATTATATTTTACGGGAAACAAAAGCGCTTTCTAAAATTGTTCTGATGTGGAAACACCCTGATGCACAAATATATATATATATATGGGTCTTTAAAGTTCTATGGAAGATGTGTGTTTATAGGATAATATAACTGAGATTCTCTCAAAAGCCAACAAATATATAAAATATGATTTTTTTTAAGAAACATTCAAATTGGACTTGGCAGAAATATACACTTTTCAGAAATCCAGAAAAACATAGGAACACTTTTTTCTTTTATTTGAGAATACTCAAGAATACTAACTTTTTCTTTGGGAATGGGAGAAAAAGGGTATGATATTCTTCTGAAATAAAAGTAATTTCAGAGGCAAGTTGTTTTTAAGATCCCGTTTGGTAGAGCGGTAGAAATCCCTTATAAACACGTTTACGTAAGTCGAAATAAATTAAATCTCTCTCATATACTTGTCTTGTATTATTTAAATCACTATTAAAAAGTGGTTTATAAACTATTTATAAGTTGTTCCAAACATACCTTAAATAATGGTTAACAATTCATCACGTGGATTCTTTCCACTGTAATGAAACAGTGGGACGTGTAGTCCCTGTCGAGTGTGGACACTTGCGTGGTGCCACTTTTAAATATTCTTCTTCCGTCCTTTTTTAAATAATAATAATAATAATGTTATAAAAAATCCATACAAATTAAAGAAAATAGGGCACATTATATTAAGTAGGCTGTTTAATCTTAACGATTCTATTGAGTGCTTCCTCTAAATCCCATTTAACTCCTGCAAAGTTTGGGGCCTTCAGAAATGCCACACACCCCACAGACCATAGTTATACAGAACTGGTGAAAGCAGAGGGAAGGGACGGAAAAGTACATTTCTTTAGGTAATTCTAAATGTTGGATCAAAATTTTCCTAGTCATATATAATTAATACGAAGAAATTAAAATTCAGTTCGATTATCGGTTGGTCGTACTGGTCGATAACACTAGTGGAGAATATACATAATAAAGGAGAAAGAAGTTCTGAATGTAATGATATAGAGTTGGGATAATAATGTTGATGAGTGGAGGCACGGACCCAGATATATAACACATAAGAAGGCATACCCATGATTAAGCTTCCATTTTTTATCAGTATCAGTACATAATAATCATGATTAGCTAAATCATAATTGTATTTGGGCATAATAAGGTGCATCAGCCATATATTTAGGATATCTTTTGTGTTTCTTCATATCTAGCAGCCTCTTCCCTTGGCATCCCCCGCTGTCCAATCTGGTTTGAGGTGCATAATTATTATATAGTGCTTTCACCTCACTTGTCTACTTCGTTTGGCCGCCATGTTATATCAATCACTTATAGTTAGTCCTGTTTATCTCTTTTCATAATGCTCTCTATGTATATCATCAAGTCCAATTCATCATATTGACTATAATATCATATAATCCACTGGCGCGATTCATGAAATGTTATTATTTTTCTATACAAATTAATTTTATTTTATTTACAATATGTGGAATTATTTGTAAATGTATAATCCAAACTTCTTCAATCATGATATATGCATACATATTTTAAAAAAATCGGAGACATGCTATGAAATCTGTTGATATAATTCTTCCTATAATTTAAATAAAAAACACGTTTTTTTTTTAATATAGAGAGAGGGACAAATGGGTATAGAGTGGCGAGCAGAGCCTCATGTCCAATTACATAATCATGAAAAAATTAACCTAGTTTTCAAGTTGAGATCACTCAATATAATTTTTTTTTTAATTTTTCCGCTCCACAGTTCAAGGAATTTAGTTGGTATATAAAAAAGAAGAAAAGAAGAAGAAAACAAAACAAAAGCAGCGAAAATGCGAGTCCTTTTCATTCTCCGACAAACAGACGTACAATGTAGATTACCTAGTGGTGCCAACTTGGGTGCCTTTGCTCACCGGCCTGTGCTAGCCATCTGCCATGAGCCTGGCTCAGATTGCTACTATACACCCGTCCCTTTCCATTTCTATCTCCTGATTCTTCAATTTCTTGATATTTTAATTTGGAAACTGATGATGCCTCCATCTATATATATATATATATATATATATTAATCCCCTTCATAATCTAATTCCATTATTCATTATATATAATATTTTGGATCCATATCTTCTGCCATGACTCCATCATTTACCCAAACGCCACCCATAATTAACTTTAATTCTGCCAGGATTCTCGGAATTCTTTTCATTCCATACACTCTTAACTAGAGATAAGCAGGACCCAGTATCTACATATTACCACTGTAACTTCTGGTTCCTTGTATATTATATATTTATTATAGACTTGAGCCGTACGTTTCTCCCCATGGAACTGTGTTCTTTTCCTCATCCTTATCCTCATAGAACATAATGTCTCTCTCTTCTGATTCATCGAGCTGTTCAGTATTCAGTAGTTGAGTCTTTTCAGCATATATAAGCACCTAATCCTTGCTTAAACAAGTACACATCGGTTTTAGCTTTAAATAAGGTTAATTATGCGTGTCTCATTTCATGTGAGGGAGAT